CCGATACATCCACAAACCACGTTATTTCCTTCGAATGAGAAACCAGATTCAATACCCATAAAAACAAGAAGTGATATTTGTGTCTACTAATCTTTATACTTTTAGATAGGGGTGGGAAAACATTCTAAAATGAACAGTAGCTAGCATAATACCTTCCGAATTTATTTAATCCTTCTTCCTTCGCCATTCACACTTCACAGACAAAACAAAATGTTGGAAAATGAGAGCAGAAAAAAAATAAATTACGCTCGAGTATGTAAGGAGAGGAGTACAGGCCCACAAGAACAGACACATTAGCGTGATGTATTTCACGATCCCTGTAAAATATTATGAAAATATAATTTAATTTGAAAATTGGAGAAGCCAGAGAGCTAGCACACGCACGATTAGGTCCCTGTGGAAATCACCAGGTCACATTGAGCACGACTTCAACATTACCACAAATTAATTCCTTCGTGTTTCGTTATCAAACTACAGGAAAAAGTCATTATATAAAGAGAGCTAATACATCCTTGGAAATTGTGGAAACGTTCTAATACTCGAGAATGATAGGTGCAACTCAAAATCGCATGCACTTAAAAGTCAAGAAGCAGAGGATATTCGGGGATGCTTACTGACGTGCAGATCAGAATTTTTGTCTTTCGTCTGATGTGAGAAACGAAAATTAAAATATGCACGAACACGGTTTTCCTCGTTATCCTGTCAAACTTTATATCTCGCATTGAGGGAATAACACAGGTTGAGATTGTTTGAGAACGGGGTGCTGAGAAAAAAACTCGGGCCTAATACGGAGCAAATGACAGGAGGCTGGAGAAAATTATTCGATCCTCCATAATTTGTACTCTCGCCAAATATTATTGCGTTAATCAGATCAGGCAGGATAAATACTGTGAGCCATATACTGTGCAAATAAAATACAAGAAAAGCATACATGCTTTTGGTAGGAAAACATGGATTGAGATCATTTTGAAAGCGTGGATGGGTGACCTTTAATAAATAACATGGCAGGGGTGTACACTGGATCGATGTGACTCAGGATTGCAGCCAGTAGCAGACGCTTCTCAAAGTGGTAAACAATTCATGTTCCGTAAAAACTGTCGAATTTCTTCACTACATGAGTGACTATTAGCTTTCAAGAAGGCCTCAGCAACATGGAATTAGTCTACGAACTTCCATCTCTTTTACGCTTTCCGCCAAAGACGCTAAAAAATTTTCTCGGATATAACTGTGCCAAGTTCGATTCCCTCACGATCGCAAAACGTTCAAGGAGCAGGTGTTGCTTAATTCACGCACAAGATAAAAGTAGCAGTTGAGCTGCTTCATTTTTAGAATCCTTCGCCACTAAATAACTCAGGACGCAACATTCAATGTCTCGGCTATCGCTTACACATCAGAAGTTCGCACAGCAGCAATGTAGATATTATTGGCACGCCACTTAAGAATATCATTCAGTAAAAACAATAGCCTACATATTAAGCCAATGCGAAACACTGTAAGACAGGTACAAGAATGCAGAATGTTCGATTAATGTATTTTTTGAAAAGGAATTGTGCAAGGAAGGGTGTCTGGTCTTGCCGGAATTCCTTGTTTACGTATTTGTTTCGTACACAGATTTTATCATACCCTTCTACTTTAATCGCTAATAGTTTTGGTTTCACTGTACCAACTTCCCGTCGCTAGTTAAATTTGGCGACAAAATGTTTATTTTCCTTTACGCTTCACTTGAAAAGCTTATTTTTGTAGTAAAGGACAACCAACGCTCGTTCTGGTTGTGAAAACCAGCGAAGACATTTAGGCCACTCACATGTGTGGAATCTGACGTCATATCCTCGAGTAAAGACATCGGCAGCAACTTTTCTGTCAGCATCACAGTCAGAAATGTCAGTACCAACTTTGTTACAATAGCAAGTATTAAGTGTGGTTATCTTCAGAACAAAGAAAACAGAACAGAGAACGCTGTTCGTTCCCTGTCAAATGTAAGAAAAGGATAGCAGGTCGCACTGTCCCAGAAGATCCTCTGTATATACGTATCTATTTATTTATTTACCTGGCTCTGTGTGACCTTTTCTCCCTTTGGGGAAACCAATATACGACGGAACACAAATTGTTTGAGCGCGGTAAATAAAAAGTGTGAATCATTTCCAGGATGTTACAACATTGTAGAATGTAAGCAGTGCAAGATGGCAAGACCACGGACAAATTGCGCAGCGCGAATCTGGAAATTTGTGGTGTTATGTAAACAATCACAGGACACAAACATACAAACAAAGGCAGAAGTACGCAGTTTTGCGCTCGGGTCAAACTGAAGATGTACCTGCTTTAAAAAAAACAAGAAATAAAACTATAACACGGACGTTTACGATGTATTTTTCTTTGAACTCTGATACGAGATACAAAGGTAAAGATTAACAGAACTTTAATTTAAACGAAAGAAATCGATTAACTTTGGTTCCTCTCTTAATATTTACTGACCCTGACAGTCAATGACGTTTCGTTTATAAATATATTTTGTCTGATGATGTACATACAGTTCTGTCTGTCATATTTTACTTCACTGGTGTAAAAAGACTGATGCAATTAAGAAAGTCTACGTGTTTCAAAGATGTGTCCCGAGGTAAGTGGGCCTTTTGTCACCACGTCGTGCGCGCCTACACATTTCGGAAGGAAGAGAGAACCTCCACAAGCGGGAGGTAGCTGCGAATAAGCAGCCTCAGATGGGAATTGGGCCGGGCTAATAACCCCTGATCATAAGAAGCTAGTAGGCCTCAAATTCTGGCAGATACTTCAACGACATGACCTCGTTTGTCCTGATATTAGTTGCCAATATAGTGGGCATGAAAACAAGGCATCTTTGCTGGAAACTTGCATCATCTCTGAATTGGAAGATGATGGAAGCAACGATGCCAATCTAGCGCTCGTAATCCTACAACTGTTATTGAAGTTGCGACATAAAACTACGTTGTAATAATTTCATATTGACATCCTCTGGTGTTTCCAGAGCGACGTTAAGAGAAAACACGAAAAAGAAACTGCATCTTCTTTTAAGACTACAAACAACGTGCTCCATTAATAATATTAAATATCACTGGAGATGATTATTTGAGAACACGAAGCGAAACATATGAGAAGACGAAGAAGGAAAAGAAGACAAATTAGTTTTTATCTCTAAGCATCGACCGTGGGAAGATTCACACTTTCAGGGCTATCTACTTGTGTCAAAAGAACCTACACGTACGGCCTCTGTCAAATTACGACAACCCATCTATTTTGTATTCGGAATGTTCTCAGTTCGATTCTCGGCAGGCAACCGGCTACTATGGCAGACGTTTGTTGTGATTTTCTACAATCGTTTCAGGAAATGTTCAGAAAATTGCTTGAAATATCATCTGCAATAATTAACATAATCTACGAACTAACCTACAATATTAATAAAAATATTTCAGTGGTTACAATTAGTCGATGAATGGAGTGATTTGCACTAAGAATTCTACTAGCTGAGTATTCGATATGCAAGATTACGTGCTACTGTGACAGAAGATTTCAGAGATTTCTGTCAATATCCCTGGACTAATTTCTGGAAAGTACTTTTAAATAGTATCCCTACGGATCCATTCTGCATTTTACATTCATGATTCAACAATGAAATTGAAAACACGATAATATCATTAAGTAACTTAAGAATCCACCAGTCAGGAGAAAAAAATTTGCCAGTCAATCAACTTTCTGAACCAAACACTTACATTACACACTTCAGTAACAGACTAGTGTTACCATTCAGAACTTCGAAACAATATTTTATGGAATTTAGAAGGCGTATCGTGTTATCGAATTTCCAGACAGTAACATTGTTTCGTCGGACGATGAAACTCTAAATTCTATTTAAAGGACGATTGCATGAAAATGCAACCTAGATGAAGAACTTGGAACAGAGGTTGTGCAACGAAAAATCCAATAATCACTTAAAGACAATTTAGAGAAACAGTCTATATCTCCAAATAGGACCTCCACGTGACATATCTTTCGGTGACTAATCCTAAAACTCGTTATTGTATTGAAATAAACTATTTAATTTGATTTGATATTTGTATTTATAGAAACTACGCTGACCCTGTGAAAGGATGATCTTTCCGTAATTTTGTACGATGGTCAACAGACCGTGACACATGATTACCATGTCCAACACCTTTCGTAAAGGTAAGCTCTTTATGTGCAAGTCGTCACATTTATTGCTGGTATATATCTATGGACGTTACAGAAGTGCAAAGGTAATATACGGATATTCTTTATACATAATTAGACCTGTCGGCATTTCATTTAAGACTAATTTACCTTAATACATCCACGTTAAAACAGTCTTACAAGTTGTAGGTGGGTACCACTGTTTCTGAAGAACCGTCAGGGGTGAGGATAGAGGCAGTATACATATTAATCCGAAATGTTGGTACCCACCTAGAACTTCAGGCGTCTTCATAAACCAGAAGATTACCAAGGGAAATGTCACAGGCTAAGATCTCACAGATTTTACAAGAGTTCAGGATCCTCATGACAATGCTGGATTGCAATATAAAAATATAACTTCAAGCTATCTGTTGCTCCGTCACCATACTGATTTGCACGCCCCCAACCATACGCAAGTTCAGGTTAAGTTAATTTAAGGTAATTAAGATTAGTTTACGTTATGTCAGGTTAGTTCAGGTTAGGTTAGGTAAGGTTAAGTTAGGTTAAACGGTAAACATCGGAGGAGGGAGGTTGTGAAGCACGTAATTTTATACGTTTGGTAAATTGATATACGTATCTGATCACCTCTTTTCCAACATCTTCCTCACGCGACCAATTTGGATCACATCCATTCTATAACTTGAGTTTATACCTACCAAAACACCCTCTTTAGGAATCTAATTTGCTATGGACCTCAGTTCGACTGATCCACACAGTCGACAAAACAACACAGGTATTCAGAAAGTTACGTGTAATTGTGGGACTTGCTATGCCTGTTTCCAGGGACTCCAAGTGGCTTCATGTTCTGCAAGTCGCACCTGCTGATCTTGGTGCTAACATGGCGGTCGGCCGTATCGGCGGTGCAACTTGGACTGGACGAGGTACGCGACATTTCAGTCTGTTCTGCCGAAGTGGATACTTGTGAGGGGCGCATCACTTCCTTGGACATATACGAGTATGTATCTGAACTTATGCGTCGAAATAAACTAAATTCGGTGCTCAATGCAATGAAGGTATCGGATTTGTAAAATTATTTCATTAACAGCAATTTGAATTATGACAGACAACCAAAAAGAAAACTGAAAATTAACATTATCTAACTCAACAGAGCAGAGTCCATATCGAGTAGCTGACAGTCGATCAGCTGGCCGAGAAATGTGTTTACAAGAGCTCGAAAATTCACGCTATACTGAGCCACTGAATCGAAGTCTATACCCCGATACCATATGCCTTTAAGATCCATTTTAATATTATACTTTCTCATGGGAAGAATTCTTCAGAGATATGTCTTCCTTTCAGGGAATGTTCATGTAAAAAGATATATGACATAATTTTCCCCGTGTGTTTTACACGTCTCGCCAATTTCATCCCTGTTCATCTGATAACTGTAATATTCGGCGAAAAATTCAATTATTTCCATCTATTACATCTTTTGTCCTTGGTCCAGCCATTCTCCTCAATACATCGTTCTCGAATATTCTAAATTTGTATTCTTACCGCAGTGCGAAAGACCAAGTTCCGCATACACACACTTAAAACACCCGCAATTGCGAAATTTCTTCTCGTTATCGCCAAGGCCAAAACAACGTACTAGTTCTAGTTTATTGGTAATTAAATGGCATGATTTCTGATTCTGCAATGTAGCAATTATTCAATTAAGTTTCCTTTATAACTTCCTGAAAAATATTATTGAAAAACACATCGAGTTGAAATTACAGTAAGCAAATTTGGCACACATTGCTAGCTACTTCTTTGAAATTCTATGGCAACAGCTCATTACTACAACAAAAAACCCCGCTGTAATGGATACGACCGCACAATGCGGATTTGGCGCTCATAATATTCCAGAAGAAATACAATTATAAGAAGTATAGTGCACGGGTACAGAAAGTATCGTTTCCCCCCTTCATGTCTTGTAAGCAAAAGTCTTGCCCTCGGTATTTTTGTATCTAGAATTTGTGGCATTGTGCCGTCAATATTTTCTGAGCCGAAATGGCTTCGCGGACAAACTATTTTGTAAGCAATGAACTAGACGAGGCATGTCTACCTTGCGGCCCTCTTCGATGTTCGACGTGCCCCGACTCAGTTTTCAGAATCATACAAGATGTCCGGCCCAGAGAGTCCCATTTTTAACAACTTTAAAGTTTCAAATGCGCGTCAAATAGCTGTTTGTAGACCGCCGTTATATATTTAAATTAATAAGTAGAAATGTGAGGTTAAAGGTTCTCACGGCGACGAATATTAGTACAACTGTCTTCTGGAAGCTACGCGGCATAGTCTGGTAATAGTCCGACGTTTCAGAGGTGACGATGGTGGCAATAAACACCTTCGAAACGCCGGTCAGTTTCTACCAGACTACATAGCACATGCCACAAGACAGTCGCCTTCAAATGGAGCTTGTGTGAAAATAGAGGGAGAAAAGTACATTCTAAGCTTGGATTTAGTAAAAGTAGGCGGAGTAGTCTCTTTTTCAAGCGGCTCGTAAAAGATACCGAGTGACATGCCTGAGCTAGATCAGCACAAAGCTTCTCAGAAAACAAATAACTTTAACTGCGCACACGAGAACCAAAGTAGCAAGTTGATGACTAGAATTTCTTTTTGCAAAAGGTACGCGGGCAGCCGCTGTTCCTGTGATGCAGACTGTCATCTGTTTGGAGAGTGTTGCGTGGACCGGGCAGTGCTTGCGGACACACCAAGCTCCTCCGCAGACAGCGGCAGCAGTACACAAGTCACCTTAACAGACGAGGAACACTCGCACGATGTGCCTGGCAACACGTCCGATGTAAGGGGCGAAATTCAGGAAACGACAGAGGTGTATGGAATTCCGAGTGACAGATGGGGGTGCCAGAACCTTGTGGTTACCACGACCACATTTCTCCCGGTGAAGAGGGTGAGACTTTAATATGTAAAATTAGTAGATCACGTAATTCAGGAATGCGTTTCTGAATTACAGATTATGTCGTGGACACGATGATATTCCGCTACGGGGAGTACATCGTCGTCCTGCGACGTTTGATATTCCGGAAAGAAACTGAAGAAATCCACTGATTTTGGACCTTATATGATCTTTCAGTTTATTATGTTGTATACGTTTATTGATTCTATGCAATGATTTCATTGAAATATTCCATCGGGGTATGTTTTCTGTTGATACTAGAGAAAGAGTCCGGTCTTCGCCCCTTTTCTTAAATAATTGTACTGGAATAAATAAAGAACTTGATTGTTTCTTGTGGCAATCTTTAGAATACAGCCCCTTAGACCCATGTACTGTTATTGACCGTCATGATAGGGCATAGTGGTTGATTTTGTATAGATCATCTTTGAATTACAAAACCAGTTATGGTCACCTGTCAATAAAGTCTGAACAAAAGCGGAAAATCGTAAATTATTTGTATACAGGAACATTTCCTTCCAGCGTTATTTCATATTTTCCAAACATATGAAGGGTGTTATTTTATTATTTAAAAATTGATATATATGCAGAGGCAGGGCCCTTGAATATCGCGTGTCCTATTTACATAACCGTCGAGTGATCAGTTCGCCAATCTTTGCTTCTTCCTCACTGGATGAGGCAGGAAGCACAATATCGAAGACCAACAGTCAAGAATTTTAACTTGGGGTGAAGAACAGGATAATTTGGGAGAGACTAGACTTGTGTCCTCTTTTCACATATTGTTCCATCTGTAAATTCACTGAGGTGAATGCAGGACATAAGTCATTTTGTAATGGACGAGTTTATAATTTTATTTCTGAAAGTGAAAACTCATTTTCGAAACAGCAAGTAATTATTTTTTCGTTTCTACACAGAGTTATGATTGTGATATTATGGTGAAACGTTTCTTGAAATAATTATGAGAAAATTTCTCTTACTCTGTGTGTCAAACGGCTTCCCACTCTTGATGGATTTATGCAAAAGAACAACTGGGCATTGCTCTTCTGGCTGTCACTTATTAAATCAAACCATCAGTATGCTTTCCCTATGTGAAATATGGGGGCATAATAAAATGAATGTTCTCCTGAAGAAAAAAAAAACGAAACAAAAACAACAACAACGGTGTGTTGTCACGCCTATCAATACAGTGAATCCGAGCGGTTTATCGCAATGGTAACACGTTGACTCTCACTCTGAAGGTAGCCAGTCAGGGACCGTGACCCAGGCAATTCCGAGGTAGTATCATAAAATAAATTACCAGCATATTCTCCCATGCCTTTCCAATTCATCGTTCATAATCATGGTGTCATGTTATCTAATGCAATGCGGAGACATAGGCTTACTGTATAAATAAACATTTGGAACTTTGGTTACCTGCTCAGGTTCGAATGGTGGTGAGATGCCCTGCTGATGCCAGGCCTGAACTATCTGACAAGTGCGCGGCTCTGAACAGATCCAGCTCGGATTTCCACTACACTATGGACATACCAATGCTGAGTTCAGCGTCTGGAATCTGGTACCAGAACGTATACTGCGCCATCTGCAATGAGGATGCAGACAAATTAGTACGCCTTATGTACTCCCTTGAATGTGATCGGAATTACACAAAGGAAGAGGCAAGTTTAAAACTCTAAATTTTGCAGAAATAAATCTAACACTTTTCCTTTCTCACTTTAAGATCCATTTCAGGGCAAATGAAGTGAAAAGCACATATGATATAATCATGCCAGTAACACCGCCGAAACTACTCAACCGATTTAATTCAAACTCGGCATTGCAGAAACATGCACTAAATTCTGTCGAGCCATTTTGATTTTGTTTAGTTCGTGCTAAGGGCGACTTTATTTACGGTGTTGAGTTAACTATTGGAATGTGTATATTCTTTGCTTCTCGCATATGAAACTTTATGTACGACATTTCTGTCACAGGACTATTACTCATTTTGTCAATATTAATTATATTAAAGGCCATTTTACTTGAGCATCTAATTAAAATTTTACGTATAGGCCTACAGTTTAAGTTTTTTGACAAATTTTAATTGAAATCCAACATACAATATTATTGTTATTAGTTATAGCTGATTCACTTCAGGGATGTTGCGCCATGTAGTTTGGTACAAGTTACCGACGTGTCAGAGGTGCTTGCTGCTTCGACCATAGGGGCAAACTACATGGCGCAGTTTCCCTGATGAATTAATCTTCACACTCGCCAACATAAGGTCCTGAAATCTCAACTATTTTAAGGCACTTTTCTTAAGATTCTAAATAAACTTCGGCCTACAAGCTCATCTTTAGAGCCTTTTTATGGTTTTTAAAGGAACACATCATGGCAATTAAGTGGGTGCTTATAATAATTAGCTGTTTTATGATGCTGCAGACAGCAACAAAATGGCTCCAAGAAGAAGCATTGTATTATTAATATTACATGATTATTAACAAATTATTGTTTAAAAGTTTTAAAGCGAAAAATTATGAACAAAAATATCATACGCAGACACAGAATCAGAATATGTCACATTCATTCTACTTATTAAATGCTACTTCAGTCATAATTTAATTGAAATCACTTGTGAAAATATACATTAAGAGTAGAAACGATAACTTGCAAACACAAAGAAGTCTTTATTTGCTGCATAAGAATAAAATTCTTTGTACTCTTTCATGAACTATTCCCATATGCACTCATTTGTTTACGTGGGAAAGTGAACTGTCAGCAAATACAACTGCCCTTAAAAAGAAGTAATGCCAAATTGTTAGTGAGAGCTTACTATCTTGTGACTTGTCTTCTGTACTGTCAGGACTTGTATACATTACTGCAGCTGCCAGATAGCTCACTCTCCTTATGTAACGCAGCCATGAGGGTGAGAGACCGACTTTCACACCCACACAAAACAACTTAGGGTCTAACGTAATTAATAAGACTACAATATAGACATTGCAGATACTGAGAGAAGGACAGTACTCCACTGAGCCACTTCAGTGGATCTTATGGGAGCCAGAGGAAAGTCGTTGTAGACTGATGACGGAACTTCAACCTGGAATATCACCAGGGTTCTTACGCCCATGCGGCAAAGTTGACAGCAAAAATCAGAATTTGCTGCTAATTGAAGATTGTCCTCCCGACTGGATGGACCATACTGTAGCCAAGAAATGCAGAGCATATGCATTTTATAGCAATATGAGATCAAATGTAAGTAATTTCAAAGTAGTTTATACTTACCATTAATCTCCCAGTCTTTTGAAATAGCAATACAGTATATCATTCATGCTTGTAAGGTTCTTTTACGTGCCGTAAATCTACGACATGGGACCGCAGGTTTTACTTCCCCTCCGAAGGAAGTTGTGCTGATTTTCATCACCCTTAAAAATCCATCGACCTCGGCCGGGATTGAACCCGCGAACCTTGGGTCCTGGGTCCAGTGGCGAGCACGCTAACCACTAGTCCACCGAGGGCGACAATTTAGACAATGGACTGAGTACAAAAAAACATTTCTACACATTAAATCCAGTGGTGTTATATGCTACCTCGTTACCTTGTTACCTCTTTACTTGGCCTTAACTATGGAACCATTTCTGGGAAGGGAGGCCTTACTAGCAACTGCTGCTGCTTCATCAAGGCAGAGTTTTGCAGAAATTGTCTTCTAGTGTAGGTATTTAATGAATTCAAAATCATATTTGGACCAATAAATGGAAATAATTTAGACTAAAAAGTTCCAGAATGACTGCTTATTACAAAGACGATGGTAATTTTAATTATCAAATAAAATAAGAAAAATCTTATTCACTTAACGATGTGTGTCAGCTCAGTTCCAAAAATCTATCCCAATCCTCTAGTAGAGTTTGTGGTTAAATTATATTGTTTGGTTGCATGTATTCTTAGGATGCTGGCGTGATAATAGGGCCCAGTGATAATGACAAAAGTGCTGTCCTATCAGCGGTGTTCAAGAATCCTCACTGTGCCTTATGTAATGGAGTTCCACTGCAAAATACAACGTGCTGGCTTAAATCACGGCTACGTACTATAAGCAAGGCAAGGGGTCACGTGCCATCCTTTTCCATCATTATGGATTTTACGTTTTGGGAAGATGAGAATCAAGAACTCAGGTGAGATGTTGCAACTTATTTCAAAGACGCATTACGGAAAATTCGGATGTTCCGTGACTTTTTGGCTTACTTAATAATGTTTTTTAAATGATTATGTAGCAAAATGTGGATTACATGTGAATGATAAACTAAGGAAAATGACAAACAATGTGGCCATCATTTTAAGGTATTATACCTGAATATTAGTCCAATGACTGAGAAAACCACGAAAAGATAATGTTGAAGTTTGAATGTAGGACCTCTCAGACACTAAGCATTACTTATAATCACTCAGTCATAATGCCCTGTATACGTTCCAGTGGTCAGGACTATTAAGGAGATCAAATATAGGAGGATGAAAAAGGTGGGACCTACAGCACAGAAATGAGAAATGCAAACAACATTTAAAAGTCTGAAAGGAAGAGACCATTTGGGAAACCTGAAAGCAGATAGGAGGGTAAAAAACTGATCTTAAAGATGTAAGGTGTGAGGATATGGCCTGATTAAACGGACTCAGGACAGGGCTAACTTGTGGTGGACTGCTTTAAACAACGAAACAAATAAGAAGACGGCCGTCTTCTGGGTTGTAGCGCCATGTAGTCTGGTAGAAGTTTACCATTGTTTCAGAGGTCCTTGCTGGCTCCATCATCAGGGCAATCACCTGACAGCGGAGGAAGCAAGGACATCTGAAACCACAGTGATACAACCGAGAAGACAGACATCTTTGTACTCATTGCTGTGAGAACATCAAAATCCTACAGGGCAATGTATATTTGGGTTCCATAAAAGATGAGGAATATCTTGCCTAGAAGAATGACTATCACCTTCTCAAGGACTTTCCTCTGTACAGTTGTTTGTTTATGTACAGACAATATAAAACAGCATTTAACTATGTAAGATTTGAGGTTTTCACGGCGATGAGTATGAAGATTTCTGTCTTCTGTGTTGTTGCGCTGTGTAGTCTGGTGGATATAACCAACGTTTCAGAGGTCATACTGCCTCCGTCATCAGGGCGATGAGGTTTTCACAGCGGTGAGCATGAAGATTTCTGTCTTCTGGGTTGTTGCGCTGTGTAGTCTGGTCGATGTTTACCAACGTTTCAGAGGTCATACTGCCTCCGTCATCAGGGCGATGAATCGCAGTATGACCTCTCAAACGTTTGTAAACATCTACCTTACTACACAGCGCAACAACCCAGAAGACAGAAATCTTCAGCATTTAACTATGATTAAAACTTTTAATTTAATCTTATTTTTTAGGTCATGTGAACTGCCTGATGGTTTTTGGGATGTGCTACACAAAACATGCATTCAGGTGCAAAATGATGATTTGGATGCTAGAGCTAAGTAAGTGTTAAGGATGGCTGAGGGTATCTGATAAATTGGTAGAGAAAACCGACAGGACTATTAAATCTATATACTACTGAAATGACGAATTGTACAAAGGACTACTTTCCATCATGCATGCTAGTCAGTTATTACAATCTTCCTCTTTTTATTGCTTTACGAATCTGCAAAGAAAACTAAACTGTAGAATAAAAAGCTGCATAATTTGAGATTTTGAAAAGGAACATAATAGTCCAACAAAATGTAAAACAATATTTTTTTATGTATCAAAAAAAAGGCACCCCTCAGTAAAACATCTGCACACTCATTAATCTATTTTTCTATTTCCAGTTCCAGCAGAATGTTGAATCTCACGTGTCCAGTCGTCACACTAACACACTCTGAATTCCAAATTCTCAGCAATGGTTCCGTACAGTACACAGGCAGTAATTTAGACTATTTAGGGCATGTTTTTGATGACTTTGAAATTACTGAAAACCATAGTGCTATTGTTTGTGCATTGCAACATGATAAAGGAAACGAGGACCTAATATCGGGTGCATATCAGGGTTATCTTACAGTGTTTTGTCTTTCTATTTCTATTATCTGCCTTGTCCTACACATTGCAACTTATTGTGCACTTCCAAAGCTATGCAACTTGCCAGGTAAGAACTTGCTTTCTCTGTCATGGGCTCTTCTGTTCGCACAATTGCTTTTCCTGGTCGGTATCAATCCCATATTTGAGGTTCCACTTGGGGTGTGCATTGGCATTGCAGTGGTAGAACATTACTGCTTCCTAGCAGCATTCTTCTGGATGAATGTCATGAGTGTTGATATCTGGAGGACATTCTCAAGGTCGACATTAAGAGGGAATGGAGGCATGAAGACTCACTGCAAGTTTGCAGGATATGCCTGGGGATCTTCAGCTTTTATAGCATTCGTGGCCATGAGTGTGGACTTCTGTACGGAAGATGGAGCTGTGAAGCCGTCTTTTGGGACAGGACAGGTAACAAACAGTCTTCTGTAATTACTTATTCCTACAGATTACCCATCCATTTAATCAGAGATCTTTGTAAAGATTGGTATGCCTTAGGAGTATACTTTAATAATTACATATCAACTACTCTTTTGTTCGGGTATAAACGTGAGTCTGATTTTAAAATAAGACTCATTATCTGTACAGAGAAAATAAAACAATAAATATTTTTGTCGAATTGCATAACAATTGCTGGATTATAAAGCAGCAGGACCATCCTTAAGCCTACAGATGAATCAGGCCAAATATCTCAAAATGTAATGTCATTGGTAATGATGATAATGGTATTTGTGTCTACCGACTGACCTCATCCACGTATACCAGGAAACGTATTTCAGAAACTTGAACTGAATTTCTATCTGTTACATCAGTGGTCCCCAACGCGGTGCCCGCGGCCGCCAAGGCTCTTTTTTTGGGTGCCAGCGTTGATACGGAAAGATGTTATACTGAATAATGAAGGCCGTTCAACCATGAACATTATAAAATCAAAGCACACATCTCGACTTACTGACGCCCATCTTGACGATTGTTTGCGAGCAGCAACATGATCCTACGCTCCCAAATTTTAAAAACTGACCGATTAAATGCAGTGCCAAAATCACACTAACTTCCGACTTGAGTAATAATATTTGTGCTTAAAAGTACGTATTTTTGATTACGTGGTTTCTTGTATCATTAAACGTCGCGTTGCTTTGTGTATTATTTGGTGTCCATATCTTATTTGTCCAGAGAAAAGAAAATTTGGCTTTGTTAATTGGTTGGTGCCCGCCACGATCTCATAAACTCTCAAATGTGCCCGTAGGCACAAAAAGGTTGGGGACCACTGTGTTACATTACCAAGGTTTCACTCCCATATAAGCTGAAGAGAATCTTATTTCAACTGGTAATTCTGCCCCTATTATGGCACAAGAAATCTATCTAGACAGAGAAAAGCGAGTGTGCCCAAAAAGCGACTCCACAATTATTGTTGTTGTATGTGACAGGTTTGCTGGTTTGGTAACCGAGGAGGTCTGGGTCTGTTTCTTGCAATGCCTCTGTTTGTTATACTGATGGTGAACTCAGGGCTGTTCGCTAACACCGTCTACAAGATATGGCAGGCACAACTTCAAGGCAAGAGGTATATCCGCGATAGAACACGGGATGAACTCATACAATCATCTTGTAATTCCACCAACATGAAGGCAACTATCCACAAAAGGAAAGATGATTCGGGTATAACCAGTCGGTAAGTTTTATATGGACTCATAAATGAAACATCCTTATTGTAAAATATATTTGGAGAAGTTAATGGTGAAGAGAATGTGAAGGAATGTAATTTTTATATGTATTCTGATGCAGGCACTGATTTTTTTTTCTGTTGTGCAGGAAAGACAAAATCCGTTTCTACCTATACTTAAAGTTGTTTACGATCATGGGCCTGACTTGGATATTTGGTTTCATAGCAGCCTTTGCACATGTTACATTTCTGTGGTATCCATTCATTGTCTTCAATGGATTACAAGGAACTTTCATCTTTGTAATGTTTGATATGAAACGCAACATTGCTTGTATGCTGTGGGATAAGTATGTCAGTCAGTATGGATACCAACCTCCACGTAAGTGTGCATAAATCATAGGCAACATATTTTATTCTTAGTGTAATAAGCTTTTAAATACCATTATTCAAACTATATGAAAAATCACATTAAAATTAGAAGGCTGTAGTTCAAATAGGTATCATTCATCAAGCAATTTTATAAGCCACAAATTTGGTTCAATGAAGTATATCTCTTTCACATCCCATCCTCATTTTTTTCGTGTCCAGTACACACCATTCAGCATGGTGTGCATTGGTGGTTAGCAGGATTCACGACCCATCAGTACATGGGTTCGATCGGGACCGCGACATTTAACGCTCCTGCTGTGACCCCCTTTTTGCGCGATGATGATGAAAGTAGAGTAATTGTTGGGATGCCACGGAGAAATCGGGGAAACCTCGGAGGAAAACTCCACGGCCTTGCCCAACACAAGTTATAAATCGAACCCGGGACCCCAAGATTACAAGGCCAGCGTTCTAACAGCTAGACCACCGTGGCGGTCATAAATGTGCATATAGTGACTTAAAATCAGCCAATACCACTTCCTTCCACATCCCTTCAAATATAACATTTACTAGTTCTACCATTTGACATTACATAATGCTTGCACAATTTCACCCTGGATTATGAGAACTTTAAGGCAGTGGTTGAGCAGAGAATAGAAATATTTTGTTTGTGTTCTAGGTTTCCTTCTTGCTAGATCCTCCAGTTCCACTACAAGATCAACAGTATCAAGCAAGATCAAGTCCAGGGACTCGGCATCAGGCAGTGACAAGACTCACTCTACAGCCACTACCAGAACCATTAGCACTGCATCAGATCCACATCTCACATTGACGATCACCTAAGAAACAAATCATCTTGAAATCGGATGACTTACGCAGTTCTTATACGCAAACAACTAGATTCATAGCATTGCATGCACATAATGCATTTTCAAAACTTATTGTTTGTAGGATGCTTTTTGTTTCTTGAGGTTGTTCTTTTAAATGTTCGCAGAATAAAAACTAAAAATGTAAGTAATATTACTGAAATAAGTTGGACTACAATGTCCACATCATGAGAAAAAAAGAAGTGAATATGTACAGCTTGAAAATACTCGCTCTTATCCTATCAAAAATTGATTTTCTGAAAAAAAAAATACCAGCAAATAGCAGAAAAAGGATTATTTTTTACAGAGGAGCTGCAGGTCAGAATCCTCTGTGAGAACCTAATAGTCCCCGAGTTTATCAAAAAATTCCCTATCTTTCATAGAAATCAAAGGTTAATTGCAATATCACAACAGCGAACCACTAGAACTCTGTCCTGAGACTTTAGGAAAACATGAGCATAAAGCTCAATACATATAACACAAATTATTCTACCTAGGAGACAAACTAAGCTTGCCCATATTCTCAGAGTATGTAACATACTATAATATTAATAATAATAATAATAATATATTTGGTTTAGAACTATATACAGAGATCTGTGGCCGCCTAACACCAGGTTTTCACGGCCCACTTTTTTTACATCCCTGACCTCCGTGTCATTCGTAGTGCTTAAAATTTTCTTGAAGGCCAACTCTTCGCCAACGGTGAACCACTTGTTCCTCAGGAGCTGTTCCCTCCACCTCCCGGTTTCCGTACACTTTAATAGTATGTGAATCTCGCTTTCTGTCGCCCCACATAAAGGGCATATTTTCCCATCCATGCCCCCCCTCATCCCTCTCAGCTTCCAAATACCCGCTCTGAACCATGCCCATCCCTCCCTCTCCGCCCTCGTACAGCAACCAATGTAGCCCTGTCTACCCCACCCTGATTTCATCTCCCCGTACAACGCCAGAGATCTCTTTTCTCTAATTTTAGCAAAAACGTTCTGTCTTTCTATGGCGTTGCACCTTTCCTTTAAAATTTCCCACGTCCTGCCCACACTTCTTCCTTGCGGATCCTGCCAAATATACCCCAACCCTAATTTATCTAATTCCTCTTTTACCCCCTTAGCCCATCCCCCAATTTTCAAGTTCAGTACCTGCCAGTCGTAGCATCTCCTTACTAAATCATCCCTGTCCATTTGCAAAATCCTTAACCAAAATTTTGTGACCAACCCTAAAACCTTGCTCCTCCTGCTGTCTCTCCCCAGTTCCACTTCGGCTACCCCATTTGCTCCGACCCTTGGTATCCCTAGGACCTTCTTACAAAATCTCCCGTGGATTACATCAACTTCTTTCCATCCCTCCTCCAATCCCCATATTTCCGCCCCATACATCAATCTCGATTCACATACCATCTCGTATACATTTTCTAAAATATTTATCCTCATATGTGGCGTTCTGGCTAAGCACTTGTCTATCGCCACTAAGGCCTGCTTCCCTTTTGCCACTATGTTAACCTTTTGTTTAGTCCACCCTCCTGTGCTTTCCAGGGTTACACCCAGGTAGCATATTTCCTTCACTGTTTCTATTATTTTGCCATTCATAAACCACCTCTCATCCTTTCTCAATTTCCCTCCCCTCTTGCATACCAACACTTTCGTCTTCTCCAAGTTGCATTTCAAGTTCCATTCCTTGCAGTACTTCGCCACTTGGTTGATTCCCTTCTGCAAGCCGTTCACCGTAAACGACCCAAATGCTAAATCATCCGCAAACAACAACCCCGGAATTGATTCATCCCCTATCACAGGTGCATGTACGTTTCCCTCCCTAATATAATCGATAACATCATCAATAAAAATGTTAAACAGATAGGGGCTCAACATACAAATATCTGGTTATATGTATTACAACTGTTATAAACTCGTGCGGGAGTCTTGAAAACCCTACAATCATATAATAGAAGTGGGTGGATTTGAAAATGGTTTTGGGAATGTCTGCGAAGAGGAAAAATGGAAGTCAGATGGAAATAAACCACACAGTGAAAAGTCATAATTGTACAAGGACCAGTAAATAACTCAAGTGATTTTAGTGTTTAGAAAGAAACTTACGATTTTCATAACTTTTTAAAGACATTTCTTCATACAATAATCTGCTAGACTGAACCATTAACATGTATGTTTGGTTCTAGATGTCTAATATAAAATCAGAAAACGCTGAAGTCATGCCGTTTCTGTTGTGTTTTATTAAAATACGTCCGGCAGACCGAAAGTAATTTATCGTAAGCCTATGTTGTACCACCAGATCTCGCTACCTCTCGCTGTAGCTGGGCTACAATGTTCCATACTATAATTGCTAACAGATGACGCTACGGTATCCCTTCTCGCGCTGTGTAAGGAGACGAGGATGGAGTGTGAGACGTTATCAGGGTCAGGGACGCTGGATTTTTGAACACTGTTCATTGTCTAGTATTCTTAAAGGACCCAACGTTTCGGAAACAGGTTCTGCTTCCATCTTTGCTTGAAAAAATGGTTAGTACCTACTCATCAGTTGGGCCAGTTACAGAGAGATATCTCAATGACTAGGATAGTTTCCGAAACATTGTGTTCTTTTAAGATACTAGGCAATGGCAAAGCCGAGAAATTCGGAAATACTAATTGCAATACACCAACATCAGAATCTTTGTGGTTGGGGGGTCAACTTTATGGGGTAGAGTCCCAGTAAATACAATCACACTATATTCATTCAGCTCAACTTTAATATTATCCTCCCATTAACGCATATGTCTTCCGAGTGTAAACTTCCGTTCAGGCTTTCTAATGAAAATTCTGCATGGACTTCGCCATTCCCTCTACATACGACATACCATGCCTATCTCATCTTCTGCTAGCATTGTTTCAATATTATATAAGTCGATGTATAAAAAGCCTCTAATCTGTCATCTACAGTTTATTATAAGATCTTTCCTCTGTTCGTCTTTAGTAAATGGCGGAATTGAAGAAAGGGTTTGTGCCCCATTTCAACGAAATATTTACGACAAATTTAAAGGGAAATAGACGTACAGAATAGCCTAGAAGAATTTGGTTCACCGTACACAATCATCATCAAATACACCGAATGTAGCGTTATAGATACCACTCCTCCTTCATATTAAGTTGATTCCAGATAACATTTATATCATATAGACTATTATCCCGAATTAGGTCTCTCTTAGTTTTCCTCTGAATCTGCATTTAAATTCCGAAATTTGCATTGGCTGTGATCGATTCTCTCACATCTGTTACCCATCACCTCATCATTAAACCAGTGTAATTTCTCATTCGACGGTGCACAAACTTAAGTTTGAGTCAACACCGTTAAATATACAAATAAACATAAATACCTCACATAATTAATCACCAAACAGTCCACCCTCCACGAAAACACCACAAGGTAACCTAACCCAACTCGTGTGCCAGTGGACATCTGCAGTCGCCATGCAAAACAACATGATTGCTCTGATAACCCTTTACGATAGTCTCCATAGGTTATCACGGTTTTCAGCAACAGACGACGTAACACAAATTGTCTCAAAGTAACTTTATCATAGCATCATTCACGGATAGTAACACTACATTTAGATAAATTCACCGACGTGAAACAAATCATATTAAACAAAATATGCAGAGTAAAAGCATGCCAGCCCACGGTTTACAAATGATATGTATACGACTATAATTTATAACGTTTCCTCCGAATAAAAATTTCAAAGCTGAATCGAAACTTTCATCCAATCTGTATCATCACCTACAGCTGAAATAATTATAAACAAACATTTCAAAAACCCATTCTCTAGCACACACTACCACTCAGCAGAAAAATAATCATTTAACTATATTTCAAGACAACATCGAACAATGAAACCGGAAATACGTTTTATATCGATATCTTACACTACTTCAACAAAATTTATAAGCGAACACATCGTCTTTGTACTACACCCGGACCGCCCTGGGGTCCAATCCATTACTACCGAAATGTTTGCATCATCGAAAAAACTGAAAATACAATTCCAACAACCTTTCATTCTTTTCCGGTGTTGTAGCAACATAAAGTTGTGAGATTTTTTAAAAATTCAAGAATACTTGAAAACCCCCCCCCGTTATATTATACATAAGATTACTGTGGCTTTATAAACTGACCACGTTTTTGACAAAATTATACTAGTCCTTTTATAACGAAAATGTTCACCTTTGTTGGACACAAATATTTAGTGATCTAGTGGGACAAGTATTTTATAATGTAAACATTTCGACAGAAAACACGCTCCTGACTATAAAATATGGAGTCCATGGCTATTTTGATAGCACTTCTGATCAACCGAAGAAAAAATGGCACTACATAAATTCATCTACATGCAATGTTCTCTGACTGGGGAATAGTTGCTTTATTATGTGTTCATTATCGTTAGTTCCAAGACACCGATATCCAGGATCGAAAATTTATAAGCAGAAGGAGCAGTGCGCTGCTGTTCACGTGAACGTCTGCCGTCTGTTTCTATTTGCTTTGCCAGCAAAGGCTGAAACATTCAAAGGGCTCCGTTTAAACCTGCCTTAAATTCTCTTCAGTCACATGTGCAATTATTTCTACTGTATCTTCGTTCTCTAGTTGAAAGCCAGCCTTTGGCCTTTTCATCAGGCCTTGTGAGAACGTTCTATCTGCAGTACATTTCTCCCCTTTGAGGCTCGGTTGATTTACTGTAAGATTCCAAAAAAAAAAAATGTTTTGGCCTAACAGTTTGGTCTCACAAAATTAGAAGAGATGCAAGTGTTCACGTTGCCCGTTGCTGTTACAACAGCATAATTGAAAATATTTTGTAAATACACGGATGAATAAAAACAAGAAATGAACGCTACAGTTCTATTAAAATTTATTCTCAACATTCAAAAATTACGTACGTATATTCTACGTTAACAGTTGCCACAAAAAAACGGTCAAATACTTACAATTATAAGTTATGTAAACATTTATTTAATACTTTTGGACACCACATCAAAATAAGCACTCCCTTTACTGCTAAACGTAAATGGCTTAATTCTTCTTTTGTTTACTGCAGAAGGTACCGAACGAAAGCCTGCCGTGTTAAACTTGAGGGAGCACCAGGCAACAGCAAAACATAGTTTGTTTAGACTTG